CTACTCCTTTGAGCCACAGGCACCATCCCCCAGCTTGTATTTTTTAACTAGGTTACTGAGTTCAGGGCAGACCCCATTTACAAATAGGGCAGACAAACAATTTTCTATGTCCAAACTCAGCATGGATAGTCCAGAATGTTTTTTACAAATAGTATTTCTAATCTTTTTTTTTTTTTTTTTTTTTGCAGTTTTTTGGCCAGGGCTGGGTTTGAACCCACCACCTCTGGCATATGGGGCTGGCGCCCTACTGCTTGAGCCACAGGCGCCACCCCAGTATTTCTAATCTTGCCTTACAGTCAGAGACTGGTTCTTCTCTTCTGTTTCAAGATTGACTGATAGACTGGTTGGGGGTTCATGACCTTGACTCAGAGAGCTTGTCTCAACCAGCTTGTTTTAAACAGACTGGTACCTGGGCTGTTCTTTCTTTCTTTGCAAATAATGGCATTTCGGCCTGACATCTAAGCTCTGTGCCTTTGGATATAAAGATTTGGTTTTAGGGAATTTTTTTAGTAAATTATTTTGGGGGACAGATTTTTTTTTTTTAGACCAAGTCTCTGTCACCCTGGGTAGAGTGCCATGCTGTAACAGCTCACAGCAACCTCAAACTCTTGGGCTTAAGCAATTCTCTTGCCTCAGGCTCCCAAGCAGCCTGGACTACAGGCACCCACCACAACCCCTGGCTATTTTTTGTTGTTGTTGCAATTGCCATTGTTATTTCAGCTGGTCCAGGCCAGGTTCGAACCCTCCAGCTTCAGTGTATGTGACTGGCACCCTACCCCCTGAGCTATGGGTGCCTCCTTGGGGATGGATTCTAAGAGAGCTCTTTTCCCAACTTTAGTCCATTACTGAAAAACCAGGTGGTTGGGTCTTTATCTTTCTCAAGCACAACCTATTTGGCTTCAGCCATCCAATTATAGGTGTCCCTAGGCCCCCATTAGCATGTGAATAAATTGTTAAAGATCAAGAGCCCTGGATCATATAGCTAAAGAAAATTTTTTTTATTGGAGAATTTCTGGTGGTTTTCACTATTGCTCTGAACTCAAAATTTTGCATAAGACAGAAAGGTAATTAAAGCAGCACACTTGGTGGACCTGAGGGCCTAACTTATAAACCATTTACCTAGCTTTCTTTTGTCTTTGGAGTATAAAGGGAACTGAGTTGAAGGTCAGAAGATCCAGACTAGGAAGAGGAGGATGGAGAGAAAGAGAGAGAAAAGGTGCAAAGTTAAATCAGTCAATCTACACTTTTTCTCATTAATTAGCTGCTTAAGTTTTTCATTTGCCTTTTAGAAAGACCAATTTTGATCCATTTAACCTTTTAGAAGCCTCTAGATCCCATTCAAAAATACACCCCATTGCTTCTGAGGTATCTTAGACCTTTTCTTTCCTAGTGTGCCTTGCAAATGAATAATTTTATCTAAGTTAAAACTTCCTCACTTTTGCCATTGAAACTTCAAGTTACCTTTAGCAGCTTCACCCATTTCTCTAGAAAAGCGCAGATCCTGACTACCTAGTTCTTACACATGAAATTGGCTGGCATTCCAGATGGAGGACTTCCAGACTCCTTGGATCCAGATGAACTGATGATTCCCTGTGTTTCTGTAATCTCACCTATGAGAAGCCTTCTCCCATAGGACTTGTACTGTATCCAATCTGGTTTCTGTTGTGACTTCTAGACCCAGTTCAGACCAAAAATAAACTTGGGAGAATTTGACACAAGTTATGGAGCTTGTACCTAAGCAGGACCTACCAGTGGTGACCTCCAAATGTATAGCAAGAAGCAGTATGAAGCAGGCTCACTATGCACTGATTACCAATTTATTCTGAATCCTCTGAGACAGAACATTTTCTTTTTTTTTTTTTTTTTTTGAGACAGGAGCCTCAAACTGTACCCCTGGGTAGAGTGCCATGGCATCTCAGCTAACTGCAACCTCCAACTCCTGGGCTCAAGCAAGTCTCCTGCCTCAGCCTCCCAAGTAGCTGGGACCACAGGCGTCCACCACAACGGCTGGCTATTTTTTGGTTGCAGCCATCATTGTGGTTTGGCGGGCCCGGGCTGCATTCGAACCCGCCACCTTGGGTGTACGTGGCTGGCGCCTTAGCCACTTGAGCCATAGGCACCAAGCCAGAATATTCTCATAAGCAACAAGATACCAGCAGCGGATTTATTACTTAAAGATAGGTGACAAGGGACAACAGAATCCTAGGACTCATAGTAAGCCTGGGCTCAGAAAGCTGCCCAAGGCAGATGAAGTCTTGAATGTATGTGCCCCACTTACACCATAGATGAGGGAACCCAAAAAGCAGCCCACCCAGGTTGTATACCTCAAGGTTATATGAATCTCTGGGCTAAAACATTGAAAAACATCCTGTTTCTAGGTGAGGGCTGGAACAGTGTGGGCTGTTTCAGTCAGTCCCTCCCTCAGGATGTTGTGTTCCCAGGACATGATATAGTTATTCTTTCTTTTTTTCTTTTTTTGAGAGCGTCTCACTATGTCACCCTTAGTACGAGTGCTGTAGTGTCACAGCTCACAGAAACCTCAAACTCTTGGGCCTAATTGATTCTCTTGCCTCAGCCTCCTAAGTAGCTGGGACTAAAGGCGCCTGCCATAACACCTGGCCATTTTTCTGTTGCAGTTGTCATTATTGCTTAGCTGGGCTGGGCTGGGTTTGAACCTGCCAGCCTCAGTGTATGTGGCCAGTGCTATAACCACTGTGCTGCTACAGGCACTGAGCTGGATATAGTTATTCTTGAGAAATATGAGAGAGAAGGGGAAAGAAGTAGGTCAGTCCAGGGCTACCCAAAACTGTCCTGCACCTACACCTGTTTACTTGTTGCTCCCAGAGGTCATCTTTGGGGGGAATGGGGGAAGTATCCTTCAGATTTCATTCTTGACAACAGAACTGTTTAAAGAAAAACTTTAGACAAAATAAATTCAACAGTTTATTTGAACAAAAACCAATGCATTAATCAGGCAGCTCTCAGAACTGGAAGAAGTTCAGAGAGCTCCACTCTGCAACATGAGTTGCAAACTTTTATAGAGCAGACATAGAGCCTAAGTAGAGAAATTCTTTCATTAGCTACAGCTAGGTATTTGCCTTATTGGAATGTGATCCAGCAGAAAGGCCCAATTTAGAGGTTAGTTGGTGGTTTCTGACTGGTTAAGCTAACTTTCATTCTACTTTTTAAACTGAATTAAGATTTGGTTTGCCTGGGAGCTATAATTACAGAAACAACCTGAAACTAATGGCCTTCTTCTTTTTTGTTTTAACACCCTGTTTCTTGAACCCAAGAGAAAGCTTAAAGGGAATCCAAGACCCCAGCAGACTAGGACATGCCTGGTGGTAACCAATGTGAAGCTTATCAAGGAACCATGACACAGTACCTCCTTTCAGCAGCAGCAGCAGGTAAAATACAGGCAAATAGGAAGATGTTGGCCTGGTCATGCTCAGCTGCTGGCCCACTCATTATACAAATACTAGGTATTAATCAATATTTGACTCATTGTATGCTGGGTGCTCTTCTAGGCACTGAGGATGCTAAGGTAAACCCCCAGTCCCTATACTCCTAAAGCTAATTCCAATGGGACACTTGAACATATGATGTAACGTAAGGTGGTGAAGGCTACAAAAACAAATCAGAAGGGCCACGTGCCCACAAAAGAAGGGAAATGCTAGACAGTGTGGAGAGATATGGCCACACTGAGAATAGGGATGACTGAGTTAAACGTGGGTGAGGAGGCTGCCCAACGACAACACAGAAGTGTAACCAGTCAGGGAAAAATCAGAATAAAGAATATTTGGTGAGGCTCGGCGCCTGTGGCTCAAGCGGCTGAGGCGCCAGCCACATACACCTAAGGTGGCGGGTTCGAATCCCCAGCCCGGGCCCGCCAAACAACAATGATGGCTGCAACCAAAAAATGGCCAGGCGTTGTGGCGGGCGCCTGTGGTCCCAGCTACTTGGGAGGCGGAGGCAGGAGACTCGCTTGAGCCCAGGAGTTGGAGGTTGCTGTGAGCGTGATGCCATGGCACTCTACCCAGGCGGATAGCTTGAGGCTCTGTCTCAAAAAAAAAAAAAAAGAATATTTGGTGAGAACTGCTTGCTGCTTAATTTTCAAAAACCAGTCAATATTCATTCGTATGCTTCACCCCATTTCAACATTACTTATAAAAAGACATCATGCCTCAGAGAAGGAATTGGAGATCGAGAAAGGAGAAAGTGTGCCTGTCAGAATCTTCCAGTCACAGGCACAAATTGGGGGAATCTGAGCTTTCTCACCCCAGCCCCTCTGACCATCTGACCTGAAATTAGTGAATTAAAAGGACCCGAAAGATCCCAATGGAACCCCAGACGAAAAAACTGCAGCCCCGGGGAAAGCGCATTAAGCAAAAACACACCATATCCAGACGACTTGTCTCTAAGACTGGGGTCTCCCTCCACCACGAGCACACCTCCCCCGACCCGGGTCCCTAGGGCTCTAAAATCCCGCCACGAAGCGAGTGTTTTACAGCTTACAAGCCTTGGACAGCTGCCTTGGAAACCTTCCGCGGTAGGCGGTCAAGTCCCTGTTGCAACCGAGAAGAAAACAGGGCTTCAGGAAAAGACAGCACCACCCTGGGCAAAGCACGTCCGGCCGTGGCTCGGCACTTGACCGCCGCGCGGGTAGCGAGCCCCTCCACAGCCGCCCGGACGAGGGACCAACAACCAGCGACCAGCCCACTCTCTGCGACTCCACCACCGCCCCGACCAGCCGCAGCGAAGCCGGCGCGCGATCCCACACCGCGCTTTCGTTATGTTCTGGATGACCGCCCCTCAAAATAAAAATTAAAAATGACCTCTCCCCTTCACGAAGCAGACCTGATCGTAGCGACACATCTGAATGCTAAAACTAAGGTTAGCATATTTTCCCGTGACTCCAACAGCTCCGAGCTGTGGCGAATCTGTCGGTGCGGTCGCCGGAAGTACAGGCCCTCTTGTCGGAAGTTGCACTTCGTCCATTTTGTGGCCCGCTATGGCGGCAGTGTTGAGGTTGGGGCCGGGAAACGACGCTTTTGACTGAGGGTGTAGGCCAGGCAGAGGCAGCAGGGACATCGAGCGGCCCAGAAGAGGACCAGCCTGGACGCCGGGGACGCTGTCATGTACGGCGCGGGTGGAGGGCGCGCCAAACCCGAGAGGAAAAGCAGCGCGAAGGAGGAGGCCGGGCCCGGCGGCGCCGGCGGTGGGGGGAGCCGAGTGGAGCTGTTGGTTTTTGGCTATGCCTGCAAACTATTCCGGGACGACGAGCGGGCCCTGGCCCAGGAACAGGGACAGCATCTCATCCCCTGGATGGGGGACCACAAGATCCTCATCGACAGGTCGGTTCCTCCCCCCACCCGTCGATCCTCCCCTTCCCTCGCCCGCTTGATTTCGTCCGATGTTGACTTGATGTCCAGGACTAAAAAGGGGTTTTCTGGAGCCAGCGGGGATCCGGGGGACGCCCCCGCCCCGCCCCCCATCTCCTCCTGGTGTTCTTGGGGGAGGGGGACGGTGAAACCTGCCCTAAGGCACTGGCTGGAATTGCGTGCCGCGTCTGTCGCCGGAGGGATCTTCTCTGCTCCCACAGCCCCACTCGACCCCTCACCCCTGTCGCCGGGCTGCAGTTGGCGATTTCGTGTGGTGGAAGCTGCCGGTGCCCGGGGTCTCTCCTGACCGGTGCCTTGGGCTTGCCGCCCGGCGCTGCCATAGGGTTGTGCGCTCTCTCTGCTCGGTGCTGGGAGGGCAGTCCGGGAAGCGCGCTTTTTATTCTTCCGAAACGCCGCACACTGAGGCCTTGGTTAGAAGCTTCTTTCGGACCCTGTGAGTTAGCTTGAACCTTTTATGCCCCAGCGCCCTCAGTTGAGCGCCTGTACTTGGCCTGCGTGACATTTGACTCCCCCCAGCGACCCCTTCCCTGATTCGACGAGTTTGACAGATTGAGGTAGTGGGTGACGTTGCCCATCAGTGGGAGGTCAGTTGACTTCGTGCGGACCCTGGCCCTGCTTAGAGGTAGTGTTCTTAGGGCTGGTTTCACTGTCTCTTAAAACTGAAGGGTGGAGCTGGGATGTAAATGTGTTGCTTCTTTTCAAATCAAACCTGTTTTAGGTGATCACCCTGGAAGATGATTAGCTATTATGGGCAGAGGGGACCTGAGATTAGGGATTTCCAAAGGTGTTTGATTTGAAAAGGATGACATTACATGATGTAGGTTGTTTGCTCCCCCTTTGCTTCCATTTTTTCATTCTCCCTTTCCTTCCCCTCTTCCCTGCATTTTGGGTTTGTGGGGTTTCTTGGGGTTTTGTTTCGTTTTTTGCCAGTTTGGCAACATTATGTCTGGGGCCGGGACTGAAAAGTTAACCATGACCAACCATTAACTGTGGAATAGTCTCTCCAACTGAAAGAAGCCCATGGATTGACACCATTAAAACTGGATTCTGCAAAGCCCTGGAACGTGACTGTAGGGATGACCTCTGAGCTGGCCAGAATGGACACATTAATGACCAAATAGGTCTTTTTCCATCCCTGACATTTCCATTTGGAGTTAGATCTAGAAAACAAGAACTCATGAAGGGAGGGTGACCAGATCCCGTCAGATCTGGATCTGATGGCTCTGCACTTTGCTAAAACACGCTGTGCCTTTAAACGTTTATATTGACTGTGTCACCTGAGTTATCAGGCTTGCTTTTCCAAAGTGTTACTTGTGATATTTATTATTAAAGTTTGGTAAGCAATGAAGTCTGAGCTCTTTATGCAGTTTTCCATATCATTCTTTATATGATTTGAGTCAGGTCTTCCAAAACTGGTGGGGAGCAAACGCTACACATGTACATGTGTAATATTTTTAAATAATCTACATTTGTAAGTTAAGGAGGTTTACATTAAAGTTAATTTTGAAATTTAATCAAATTCAATAATGTGGCTACCCTGAAATTTTTGGCTTTTTCCCTGTAAATTTTTTTTTTTAACATTAACATTTTTGGTCCCCATTACAAAAACCAGCCTTAAAAAATTAGGCAGACTTTTGTTTGTCTCTCTATATTCATTTTTGAAATCCTGAATCTTGAGTGTTTTAAGTATGGTTAAATTCACTAACTCATTTATTATTGGATAGTAGCACATTGACAATGTCTTCATTGAATTTTTTTATATTAAAAGAATAGCAAAAAAAGGGCTCTCATTCTTAATTTGGCTGAAATACGCTATTGATCCACTTAAGAGAAACAAAGATGTATCTTCATGTATATTATTTCCTGGGGGTATAAAGTTCAGAAGGAAGTATCAATACTGCATCTTCTAATAGTTTTGCTCTATTTCCAGTGAACCTCCTTAAACTGCATGTATATGTCACTGTTCCTATGTATGTGTGTCTCTCTATCACATAACCCAGCACTTATTTCCTCAGCCAAGTGGCTAGGGAGCGAGCCTAGCCAAGATTTTACCTCCAATGGACGCAAGTTTCTTTGATGAAGATCTCTCCTGAGAGTTCGGGACTAGCAGAAAGACGCGAGGAAATTTCGACCGTTTGGTTCTTACGGATAGGTATTTATGTATTCGGTTTGTGTGAATGTAAGCTATGATATTTGACTTTTCAGAAAAAAGATTTTTATTTTTTTTTTTTTTGCAAGTGGCATTGAATGGTTGACCAAACCATAACGGTAAGAACTGCCAGTGAAATGGATAACATTTATGATAATAAAGGATTATCTGCCTTTAATTATAAGTTTTATCGTACTGTAGAAAGGAATTTTGACTTTGTTAAGATAATTTGAGTTTAAAAGTAGGTGAGATATGATTTGCAAAATTAAATATAAATCTGAGAAGAGTTTTAATATTTGTTTTAATATTTTTATTTCTTTATTTTAATTGGTAAGTATATATATGAAAAAAATCACACACACCAATCTAGACATTAATTTCTTTCTATTGACCAGCTTGTTCATATTACAGATATGATGGACGTGGTCACCTGCATGACCTTTCTGAGTATGATGCTGAGTATTCCACATGGAACAGAGATTATCAGCTATCTGAAGAGGAGGCACGAATAGATGCCCTGTGTGATGAAGAGAGGTATTTAGCCTTGCATACGGACTTGCTTGAGGAGGAGGCAAGGCAAGGTACTGCTCAAGAAAAACTTACTTAAGCAACAAACTTTTTAAAAATTTTTAAGTATTAAAAATTTACTCCCATTCATTTTTTTATACTCACTCTTTCTGATATTATCTTGACAGTACCCAGTGGATTGGAAAAACAGGAGTCTTTGCGTTCTGAGAGGACCTCAGGATAGTTTATATATAGAGCCACAAAGAATTTTCCCAGCTTTTGAGGGCAGACTGGGATTTGAAAAAAACAAAAACCAATCTCTTTAACTGTTCTTCTTTAACAGTATCGTATAAAATAAAATTGATGTTCTTGTCTTTGCCATAACAATCTTCTATACAGTTCTTAATCCCAGCATTTTCTCAGCAGGAAGAAATTTTCCACAAAAGATGTGTATTCAACTGTCTGTGGGTAAACGTGTACTGCAAAAGTACATACTGATAGATACAAAGTGTGAATTTTTGAAAGCATTTTCACCCTAAAAGGAGGTTGTAAAAAGTATGTTGTATGCTTTACTGATAGCTACAACTTTAGAAATATATAAAGTTTTTCTCAGTAAGTTTCCATTTTTGTTAATAAAATTCTCATTTTTATTCAAGAGGAAGAATACAAGCGATTGAGTGAAGCTCTAGCAGAGGATGGGAGCTACAATGCTGTGGGGTTCACTTATGGTAGTGACTATTATGACCCATCAGAGCCAACAGAGGAGGAGGAGCCTTCCAAACAGAGAGGTAAGAGGGGAGAATCACCTGGGGTGCTTTTGTAGGGCCCCATGCTACATATATCACGGTCTTGTTTTCGGAACACATTTATGGACACTAGTTATAACACCACTATGACACATACACAAAAACATGATTGATGTTCCTTCTTTCAGTAAACAACAAAGGCTAAAAACTAGAAAATGAGATATTAATGGAGATAGAAAGTGAGTTCAGACTCATTATCTGCATTGGATCAAGTTTCCTTTTCATTTATTTCTCTTTGATTCAGTTAACAGAAAATTACTCACTTTTTGATTCTTTGTAGATTAATAATGTATCTATTAATATCCTCAATGATTTGTTCCTGGAGCATTGAAAGAATAGGCACATATTAGGATAAGTTAATGTCACCTCACCTCACCTCACACTGACCTGCTTCTGCATGTCATACACAGCTAAAATGATGGCCAACATCCAGGGTAAGGACACCTATAGAGTTAGTTATTACTAACCAGAAATCAGCACAGGGCCTCCTGGTAGTCTTGGTAGGACCTAGGATATATATACTTATCAGAATAGTTTAGGTTAAAGATTTTAAATATATGCTCTTCTGGCTTAAATCTGGAAACTTGGAATATAAAAAATAATGCTACTTCAAATCTTGGTTTATGTAGTACAAGAAAAAAATATCCTTAGTCACTTTCTTTGAGGGTACCATTATCACAGCACTGAATTATGGCCAGTCATTAATTATCAGTAATGATAATATGAACCTGAAACATTAAAGATCAATAATTTATATTCAGAGTATTCTGTTTAAAGAGGAGGAGTTTGGTGGTTTGGGGTTTTTTTGTTTTTGTTACTATTTTTTTTTTTTTTTGAAGACAAGAATTTTGCTATATTACCCTGACTAAAATGCAGTGGTGTCATCACAGCTCACAGCAACCTCAAATTCTTGGGCTCAAGTGATCCGCCTGCCTCAGCCTCCCAGGTAGCTAGGACTATAGGCACTCATCACCACTCCTGTCTGATTTTTTTTTTTTAATTTTTGGTAGACATGGGTCTCCCTCTTGCTCAGGCCAGTTAATCCTTGTGCTCAATTGATCCTTGTGCCTCAGCCTCAGAGTTTTAGAATTTTGTAGGCATGAGCCGCAGTACCCAGCTAAGATGGAGAACTTTAACTTTAGAAACTTATTCACATGTTTAGAATAATAAAGTAGAGATTTAATTTTAAGGCTAACCTAATCTGTTATTTGAGATTTAATTGATTTCTCTTTTAGTAACAAATCTTTTAACAAGTATGAAGTAATCACATATGTTTAATATTAAAACAGAATGTAAAAGTACATACTGATAGATACAAAGTGTGAATTTTTGAAGATTTTCCCTTTTTTGAAAGTTTTTCCCTTCCCATTTTTGATGTTTTCCCTTCCCCTGTGCAACTATGCCCCAGCCCTATTCCCTAAAGGGTGTGACCGTAGATGGGCAATGAGATGTAGGCGCAAACATATAACATGTGGATTTTCTTTTTTTTCTTTTCCTTCTGAAGGAGACAGGTCTTGCTTTGTTACCCATGCTAGAGTGCAGTGGTCTAGTCATAGATTACTGAGATTACTGTAACTTCAAACTCCTGGGCTCAAGCTGTCTTCCTGTTTTGGCCTTCCAAAGTGCTGGGATTATAGGCATGAGCCACTGTGCCTGGTCAGACTTTGTTTGCTTTTTGACCTTCTTTTAGTCCTGCTCATTACTTTGTGCACAGTTCCATTTGATGAGCATTTAAAGAGACTTTCAATTGTAAGTTTATGTTGTATTAAAGGCTCATTTAAGGTATTTAACACTTTTGGCTTTGACTCTTAAACCTAACTATTCTCATAAATTAAGATGGAAATGTTCTTGCAGGTCTAAGTAGTGAGCACTTATTCATTTATTCAGAATAAGTTATCCCTGTTGGGGTTTGAGATAGTTCAGATTTTGTTGCCTTACCTCTGAACGATACATTGTTTCTGCCTTTTGTATCAGAAGTTAGGTATACATACTATCACCATTCACAAAGGAAAAGCTGAAATACAGGCAAACTCTATCTCCATAGGTTCCGCATTCATGGATTCAACAACCTTGGATCTAAAATATTTGAAAGAAAATAATGCAACAGTAAAAGATGTGAATATTTTTGGATATAATATAACAACTGTTTATACAATGTTGTATAAAGTATTACAAGTAATCTAAAAATTTAAAATATATGGGCAAATGTGCATTGTGTTATAACACAAATGATCATTTTATATAAAGGACTTGAGCATCCTAGGATTTTAATACCTGCCTGACCTTAGGATTCTAAGCAATTCCCTTAGGATATGGATGGATGACTGTGTATAAAAGCCACACACATGTCTTTTTCAAGATTACAGCAACAATCTTTAGAAAAATTCATTATATAAATTTCCTTCACATTCTAATAAGGGATCAGCCAAGCATAACCTCAAGCGTGATTGACAGGTTTTATATTAATAAACAGTTTTATTGGAACACAGCCATGCTGTGGTGTCCATATTGTCTGTTGCAGCTTTCACATTTCAACAGCAGACTTGAATGAGACAGATCATGTGGCCCATAGAACTGGAAATCTTTAGTATCTGGCATTTTATAGAAAGAGTTTGCTTCTGTTCTAGGTGGTAGGTAGATCATTGTTCCAGTGTTGATTATGGGGCTAACTGATATTAACTTTGTTATAATATTGGGTTTGAGAGCTTCAACATGACTTGAGTTTATCTTCTTTTTTTTGTTTTTGTTTTTTTTTGAGATGGAGCCTCAAGCTATCCCCCTGGGTAGAGTGCCATGGCATCATGCTCACAGCAACCTCCAACTCTTGGGCTCAAGCGAGTCTCCTGCCTCAGCCTCCCAAGTAGCTGGGACCACAGGCGCCCGCCACAACGCCTGGCCATTTTTTGGTTGCAGCCATCATTGTTGTTTGGCGGGCCCAGGCTGGGGATTCAAACCCGCCACCTTAGGTGTATGTGGCTGGCGCCTCAGCCGCTTGAGCCACAGGCGCCGAGCTGAGTTTATCTTCTTAAGTATTAGTATGCTCTCTTTGGCATATAGTTCTCTTTAGTATTTTATAGTTTTTTGTTTTTTGGGTTTTTTTGTAGAGACAGTCTCACTTTATCACCCTCAGTAGAGTGCTGTGGTGTCACAGCGCACAGCAACCTCCAACTCCTGAGCTCAGGCAATTCTCTTGCCTCAGCCTCCCGAGTAGCTGGGACTACAGGCGCCCACCACAACACCTGGCTATTTTTTTGTTGCAGTTTGACTGGGACCAGGTTTGAACCCACCACCCTCAGTATATGGGGCCGGCGCCCTACCCACTGAGCCACAGATACCACCCATAGTATTTCTTTTCTTTCTATGATCATATTCTCAGAACTTTGCTTTATATGCTGACTAAATTTTATATGGAAATTTGGCCCATGTGAAACTTAGTGCTTGATATTTTATGTTTAATTTGCATTAATAAAAATAAAACACCATATATACACACTTCAGTAGAGTTTACTTTGGTACCCAGTACAAAGAACAGCCAAATTTAGTCTCTCATTCTTTTTTTTTTTTTTTTTTTTTTTTTTTGTGGAGATAGGGTCTTGTTTTGTTGCCAGTGCATAAGGACAGTGCTGTGACCGTAGCTTACTGCAGCTTTGAACTAGTGGGTGCAAATGATGCTCGTACCTCAGTCTCCCTAATTGTTAGGATTACAGGTGTAAGCCACCCTCCCTGGCCTAGTATTATATTCTTTTCAAGTAAAAGGTAATTTTTTTCCTGAACTATCAACACATCTAAATACTACTTGATATCCAAAAAATATTTCTGGCATTTTTTAGTATTGTAAAGCCTCATGATGTTAGCCAAAAGTGTTTTGATGGTGCCTTTATAAACTGCCCACTTCCTCCCTTTTTGCATTCTCCTATTTTTAGTTTAGCCCATATCTGGATTTTCATAATTTTTCTTTTCTTTTTTTTTTTTGAGACAAAGCCTCAAGCTGTCCCCCTGGGTAGAGTGCTGTGGCATCACAGCAACAGCAACCTACAACTCCTGGGCTCAAGCGAGTCTCTTGCCTCTGCCTCCCAAGTAGCTGGGACCACAGGCGCCCGCCACAATGCCTGGCTATTTTTTGGTTGCAGTCGTTATTGTTGTTTTGGCGGGCCCGGGCTGGATTCAAACCCCACCACCTTAGGTGTATATGGCTGGTGTCTTAGCCACTTGAGCCACAGGCACCGAGCCCATAATTTTTCATTATTATTATCTATGTATTTTTAAATAAGAAAAGGTTGGAATTTAAATCTGAGTTTGTATTGCAGTGGTTGGTTTTTATTTTGTGTTGTTGAAGCAATCTCTGTAAATAAAAGCATGTATAGGAATCAAACAGATCTCTTTAACCCAAGTACCCCAAACAGCTCTTTCAATTAGGATGCATTTATGTTTGTAAACAACTTAACTTTAAGGATAGGCTATTTGAATAGATATTTTAAGAAATGTAATAAAAGTTGTATTTTTAAACACATACCTCTGGATTCATTCCCGAAGAGAATTTGAGATAGCTAAGTTGTTAATTGACATTTTGCCAATGAAAAGGTCTCTATAAGCCAAGTCGGTTAGTTGGCATTTTGCCAACAGAAAATCTCTGCAGACCAGAGTTTCTGATATTTTCTAATTCTACTGTATCGTTTGGTTACTGGAGCTGAACAGTAGGGCTGCTAATTCCAGGGAGTTTTTAGGCAGGAATAAATTTCTGCTCTCCTGTTAATCTCTGTTGCTTACTGAGGAAAAAAACAAGGGATCAGAAACAGGTGCAACAGTGTTAAATAATACTGATTTAGGAGTTTATAATCACTTTGTATCGCATCAGACTAGAATACCCAGTTTTTGTTTACAATGAAACCTGCTTAAAATTTCCTATTGGTTTCACAGAATTAGGTTTAATAGGAAGTCTTTGCAAATTGTTTATCTCTTTAAGAGGCATCACTATATATAATAGAAATATTTATTTTGATGAAGATTTAATTTGAAGTTTGTTTTGCAATAATCAACTTTTTTTTGTTTTGTTTTGTTTTGTTTTTATTGGAGACAGTCTCATTATGTCACCCTTGGTAGGGTGCCATGGCATCACAGCTCACAGCAACCTCAAACTCTTGGCTTAAGTGATTCTCTTGCCTCAGCCTCTCAAGTAGTTGGGACTACAGGCACCCGCCACAACGCCCCATCAACTTTTTGTTGCAGTTGTCATTGTTGGTTAGCTGTCCTGGGCCAGCTTCCAGCCCTCCAACTTCAGTGTATGTGGCTAGTGCCATAACCACTGTGATACGGGTGCCGAGCCATTGATCATCTTTTTTGAAATAAAAACCTAAGTAGATTTTGAAATCCCTAAAAAAAAATGTAGCTTTTTTAAGCTTTCTGCTATATTTTTGTACATTTCACTAAATCTTTTTAAATTAGTAATTATCTGAGTTATTGAGATGTATTTAGCTACTTTAGAATTCAAAAACTAATAATGCATAGTCCTTTGTCTAGCATATAATAGACAGATTTTAGTGAACTGTTTATGAATGAATGGAAATAGAAAAATACATCTGAATGTTTGTCGAAAATAGGGTATTTGCTTGAGTAGAGAAGTCTTGGCAGTTATGCCAGGTGTTCTGTAATTTGGTGATGGAATCAGTTACCTAGGAATTGTGTTATGTCTTTCAAACACGGATCAAAATTCTAGTATTCTAAGGATGCAAGACCCGCATATAAGGAGTGCCAACTTTTCATATGTGCTGGTTCCTTGGGGCTGACTGCATGATTTGAGTATATTCAGATTTGGTTGTCTGTGGGGGTCCTAGAACCAATCTACCATGAATATTCAGGACAACTGTGCTGTCTAACCCCTGTAAGCACACTCCTTCTGATTACCACCCCACCTGGTTGGAATCTTATAAAGTGAGCATCATTACTCATGTCGTGGAATAGAAGAAAAACTAAAAATTGTTTCTAGAACTAATGACAGAAAGGTAAAGACCCAGGAAATGCCAATCACTGCTTTTGCCCCTATTATTGCCTGTGGGTACCTTCTATCCTTGTCATTGTTCTGAAGTTTTTAATTTTCTTTTTATACAGAAAAAAATGAGACTGAAAATCTAGAGGAAAATGAAGAGCCCTTCATCGCCCCATTAGGATTGAACGTGCCGTCTGACGTGGAGCTGGTATGTGTGCTTCCTCACAAACTCTAGTTGCCTTCGTCACTGTTTTCATTTCTAAGTACAGTGTGTTCAGGAGCACAATAATAATAACCACAATTGCTTTTCAGACATGGAATGCTTACAATAATTTGTGAGTTAATGGAGAAAATGATCACAGCCTATCTATTGTCCTCAGGAAAAAAAGGGAAGAATTATAGCAAAAGAACTAGCCCAGAGCATCAGTTTCTTGAGTTGGGTCTGTGTCAGAAATCATAGTTCAGTGGCCAGGGGTATCCACACATAGGCGTAAAAGTAGCCTTGCTTGAGGCAATGTTTTCTTCAGTAAAGTTGCTTTGTTCTAGCTTTTTAAGTTTTTTGTTTGTTTGTTTGTTTTTAAGAAACAGAGTTTTACTTTGTTGCCCTCGGTAGAGTGCAATGGCACCACAGCTCACAGCAACCTCTAGCTCTTGGGCTTAGGTGATTCTCTTGCCTCGGCCTCCTGAGTAGCTGGGGCTACAGTTGCTTGCCATAACGCCTGGCCTTTTTTTGTTGCAGTTTGGCCAGGGCCAGGTTCTATCATGCCACCTTACATGGGGCTGGCGCCCTACTCACTGAGCCATAGGCACCACCTAGCTTTTTAAGTTTTAAGTGTGATTTTTCTAGGCGCTTCCCCTTATCTCTTCATCTCACGTGTTCTTGGCATTTTTCTGTGTCATGCCTCAGTCCCTGTGACATCTCCAGGCTGCCTTTAACTCTGATGGAGAAAGCCAAGGTAGAATTCCTCTTTACCTGAGCACTTTGCATCTGGTAATCTATTCAACATTGCTTTCACCAACTGTGCCATGAGCAGATCTTAGGTGTGCTGTAAAAATTTCTAAAGATCATTAATTAAATTCATTTAGAAAGAAATTCAAAGCACAGTAAGAATATTCTTTTTTTTACTCTTTTCTGATCAATGTAATTTAAGTGTACCATGGAAGTTTAACTATAGGTTCAAGTGTGCCATGAGATGAAAAAATTAAGATTAAGTGCTTTAAATTAAGATTAAGTGGCTCGGCTCCTGTGGTTCAGGTGGCTAAGGCGCCAGCCACATACACCTAAGGTGGCGGGTTCAAATCCAGCCCGGGCCTGCCAAACAACAATGATGGCTGCAACCAAAAAATAGCCAGGCGTTGTGGCGGGCGCCTGTGGTCCCAGCTACTTGGGAGACGGAGGCAGGAGACTCACTTAAGCCCAGAGTTGGAGGTTGCTGTGAGCTGTGAGGCCACGGCACTCTACCCAGGGTGATAGCTTGAGGCTCTGTCTCAAAAAAATAAAAAAATTAAAAAAAATAAATTAAGATTAAGTTACAACAGATGTGGCTTGACATCTGTGGCTCAAGTGGCTAAGGCACCAGCCACATACACCTAAGGTAGCGGGTTTGAATCCAGCCCAGGACCGCCAAAACAATGATGGCTGCAACCAAAAAACAGCTGAGCGTTGTGGCAGGCACCTGTGGTGGGCACCTGTGGTCCCAGCTACTTGGGAGGCTGAGGCAGGAGACTCCCTTGAGCCCAGGAGTTGGAGGTTGCTATGAGCTATGATGCCTCGGCATTCTACCCAGGGGGATAGCTTGAGGCTCTGTCTCAAAAAAAAAATAAAATAAAAATAACTTACAACAGATGTTAAAGCCAAAACTGTGATTTTTTTTTTCTTTCTTTTCTGAGGTTCTTTGGGGCATTTCTGCATTCCAGAAAATGCTAAGCTGTTTTCTATGTATTATCTCATTGAATGCTAACAACCCTGTGAGATAGGTACTGTTACTCTCCCCCTTGTACAGATGATAAAACTGAGTCTTAGAAAAGTCAAGAGTTTGACTAGAAGTGGCATGCAGGAATGCAAACCATGGTCTTTATTATTGTGCCATCTTGAGTCACCATGCTTTATGGAATTTGTATATGTTCATTAGGGATGTTTAAAATATTTTTGTGGCTGAGCTTAGTAGCTCATGCCTGTAATCCCAGGATTTGGAAAAGCCAGTGTAGGAGGATTGCCTGAGGCCAGGAGTTTAAAACCAGTCTGGGAAATCTAACAAAACCTTATCTTTACAAAGAAATAAGAAAAGTTAATTGTGCATTGTGGTGTACACCGGTTGTTACAGATGCTTGAGAGAGTGGGGTGGGAGGATTGTTTGAGCCTAGAAGTGCTAGGCTGCAGTAAACTATAATGGTGCCACTGTAATCTAACCTGGGCAACGGAGTGAGATATATATGTGTGTATATATGTATATATATAGAAAGAGAATAGACAAAAATATCTTTTTAAAATATAAAAAAAAACATTTGTTTGAATGTACCTACTTAGGAAGGATGTTCAACGGAAAGTTTTTTCTTTGACATTTTCCTAACTGGGTTGCAAATGCCATAGATAACAGGTGTTCTAGATTCCTCTCTGTATCCTGAATAGGATATACAGTAAGATGCTCAAAAACTATTTATGGAGGAATATCTCTTATGATCCTCTCCTCTGTCACTTGCTACCACTCTAATTCAGCCTGAATTTGGTGATTCTTGCCTATTATTTTCTTCTTATCTTTCATTATGTGAGGAAGGGAGATGTCAAAATAGTCCTTTCAGTTCTTACCTCTAACCCATCCTTTCCCTTATTTCATTTACATATCCTCTCCCTGTCTCCTTATTTCCTACAAATAAGGGTTAAGAAGAATTTTTTGAATTTTTTCTATTGTAATCACTACTTAACGTTTGCTTCTCCATTTCCACTTTGGATCATTTTGCTTTAGTTAAAGCTGAAAATATTACCTGAAGATTTGATATCCTACAATTTGTGTTAATATATTTTCTGTGTATTTCTACTTATTCTGAAATATGCTATTTATTCTGCATGAGAGACCCATTAAAATTAAACCTTAAAATTCACAGTTGCTACATTACCTATAAAAATTTTTAATAAATTCGGCTATGTGGAATTTTATCTTGTTTTGGTATAAAAGATGTTTTAAATTTTTATTCAAATACAAATATAGAGATAGAATAGAATTTTGTTGCCTTGTTTAATTCCTATTAAAATACTTAATGGCTATTTGGTTCTCAGCCAAAATAAGCATCACCAAGCTGTTTAATGGTCTGCCAGAATCAAACATATTTGCCACTCATTGGAGAGCAAAATTAGCCTTAGTGTATAATTACTAGCTCTCTTATTGTTAAAGAGTTTCTTCTAATGTTATTTTTAAAATATCTCTCAGCTCTCTGAGTCCATTGTTGTGACTATATGGAAATTCTGAATACTAGATCCAGTCTCTTGATTTGCATCTTTCATTTCCTTTATGGCAATGTGGGTGTATCATTCTTCGTAATTATTGTGATTCTTTTTGGCAGTAATTCTTTGTATAAATTACACACTGATATCCATGTTAGTAGAAAATGGTAGAAAACAGAAGTATTTGCATTAGAAGTCCTGTTTTGGTTATGAAATGTCAAATATTTAAACATCAGTGTTTAAATGGACTATTGTCCCATCATGAGCAGTGGTGGAGGTTTGACTCACTGACCAGGGAGGGTAGGAGCAATTGGTAAAGACAGCAGGTACTTTGGGGGTAGTGGGACGTTTTTGGTTTTTAAACCGAATGTTGGATTAGAACCTCATGGTTACATGATCCTTGAGGTTTTAGGGTGAAGAGTAAGCAGCAGTTAAATTACAGCTCCCCAGGAGGCTTGTTCCTGCCTCCTGCTCAAGGTATCGGGTGCTACCAGTGTCTGGCTGAGCCTCTGGACTTAAGCCCCTCAATGTCCTCTTCCGACCCAAATCCCTAAGGCAGTGTTTTTCAGCCATTTTTTATCTCACAGCACACTTGAACCCATAGTTAAACTTCCATGGTACACTTAAATTACATTGATCAAAAAAGAGTAAAAAAAAAAGAATACACTGTGCTTTGAACTTCTTTCGGAAATAATTTAATGATCTTTTTTTTTTTTGAGACAGAGTCTCACTTTGTCACCCCTATAGAGTGCTGTGGTGTCATAGTTTACAACAACCTCAGATTCTTGGTTGCCTCAGCCTCCCAAGTAGCTAGGACTACAGGCACCCACCACAATGCCCTGACTGTTTTTAGAAGCGGGGTCTTGCTCTTACTTAGACTGGTTCTGAACCTGTGAGCTTAGGCAGTCCACCTGCCTCCACCTCCCAGAGTGCTAGGATTACAGGCGTGAGCCACCACGCCTGGCCTGATTTAATGATCTTTAAAAAATTTTTTCAGCACACCAGTTGAAAATCACTGCTCTAAGGTAATCTTAGGCTTTATTTTTAGCTTTTTATAGTGACCCCATGTGGGAAGTCATGGACCAATCTTTCTCTTTCATGGGAAGTGAGGACCTGTTTTTTCCTACATGTGTAGCTCAGCATCATTTGTTCTGACATGGTGCATTCAGTCATCTTCTCCTTTCCTGAGTCCAAAATGCCTCTTTTTGTCCTGTCCTATGGCGCACACACACACTTTGCCCCAGTTGTGTTTTGTTGTCTGTCAGACACAGCAATCATAGTGGGTGACAAGTCTCTTATTTGGACCATCCTCTTGCCCACCTGTGTCCTCAGTCTCAAGAGACACTGTAGATGGCACAGAGTTCTGTAATGAAAATGAGTTCTGGGCCACAAGTAATGTCTGCCAGGTGTCCATAGTCTGTGGACCTGCCTGTTCTGCAACACTTCACATTTTGCTCAGTTCCTTGGAGCAAGAGCATCTCAACAGCCATGGTCAGTCCTATTAACATGTGCTTCAGGGGAAATGTGCTTGTTTGAACACATTTTATGGACACAAGACAGGGTTGATAAGTAAGTAGGGCTTTTTTGTTTTGTCTTGGGTTTTTTTGGGTTTTGGGGTTTTTTTGAGACAGAGTCTCACTATTTTGCCCTGGGTAGAGTGCTATGGCATCACAGATCACAGCAACCTCAAAGTCTTGGGTTTAAGCGATTCTCTTGTCTCACCCTCCCAAGGAGCTGGGACTACAGGCACCTGCCACAACACCCTGGCTATTCTTTGGTTGTAGTTGTTGTTGTTTGGCAGGCCCAGGCTGGGATTTGAACCCACCAGCTCTGGTGTATGTGGTTGGCGCCCCAGACACTGAGCCACAGTCGCCAAGCCAATAATTAAGTAGTTATATGCAACATTTTAGTCTGATAGATGAGTAGCAACATGTTGGGGGCATGTTTTGAGCCTTTACTATATGCCAGGCCCTGTCCAAGTGCTTCTTCCCTTTACTTCTCAGAGTAACTCTGCAGAGTACAAATACTGTCCATTTTCCAGGTGAGAAATTTTGAGGTTTAGAGAGTTTGAGTATAGCCACCTTAGGTCAGACATGTATGGGTTGGGCCTGGTGTCCAGCCAAGGGCCAAATCCAGAGCTCTGAGCATTGGAGTAAGCTCTACTGACTGTTGTGCAGATTAGAGTGTCACCTTTATCATAATGTAGTTGCTGCATTGCCACAGGCGGGGGGTGGGAGAGAAAAGAGACTGGATGTGCTGCAGTATTCCTGGAGAGTGCTTTGCCTTTTCTTTGGGGTTTATAAGATCCTGCATGTCCAGTGAACTTTAACCTTTGGTCTTATGAGTATCTTGCAGATATTTTCTCTAGGTACTGTGATTCTGTGACACCCTCCATGCAGAATTTGGGTGTATTTGTGGAGTCCTCTATGCCACACTTACCCTTTATGACTTTGAGGTTTTGAAGCTTTTTTTGGAACACCTTGTCCACACCTGAGAGTTTGAAATATTTTCTTATATTTCCTGCTAATATTTCTGTAGTTTTGTTTTTACATTTGAGTAGTGGCTCAAACTGATATTTACTAGGAGCTCTGGGCAAAGCAGGTGTTGAATCTCTTCTCTCCTAATCTTAGAGGAGAGGACTGACCCTGCTGCTCCTTGGATTCCACACTGCCTCTCAGTCTTCCATCCTATGCCAGCCCCTGTATTTCCCCTGTGGGGTCTGAGTGCAAGAGTTTTCCAAAGCTCTTGGGAAACCTTACATTCATATAAGTTTTCTGATCTGCATGTATCATTCTCCCATTTTCAGTGCCTGCTATGAAGTTTAAAGCCATGTTAATGAAATGTTGAAGATGGAGGGAGGTGTTAGATCCCCTTCTTGGGCTCTGTGGACTTTCTTAAACAAAAGGATTCCTTATTGGATTTAAATTAGAAAAGGATTTTTCTTTTTATCAGGTAGTCTTATAACATAAGCATATTCATATATGAGTCTATCCTTAAAATCTCATTGTATAGTAGGAATGATTATGATATTCTTAAATGAAAAAGGATTTATCTAAAATCTCATAATAAACAGAGCAAAGGATGGCTTTTTCCAAGCCAGATTTTTTGGTTTTGTTTTTGTTTTTTTTTTTTAATCTCATATCCACTTTGTTGGTCAACTTTAAAATATGTTTGTAAGATTTTTTTTTTTTTTGGTCATTGTTGATTTGTAAAATTACCAACGAATTGGTTTTTAACCACTGTAGTTACAATAATACATCATAAATGAACCTACTTTTTTTTTTTTTTTTGAGACAGAGCCTCAAGCTATCCCCCTGGGTAGAGTGCTGTGGCATTACAGCTCA